TGTGTTCAGCGGGCCTGCCTAGCCCGGCCGCTGCAGGCGTCCCTGGACGCAGACCCGTCGAGCACTTGTGTTCAGCGGGCCTGCCTAGCCCGGCCCCTGCAGGCGTCTCTGGACGCAGGCCCGTCGAGCACGCGTGTTTAGCGGGCCTGCCTAGCCCGGCCTTTGCAGGCGTCTCGGATAGGAGGACCCTCCACGCAAGAATGCCAAACGGGACTTGCAGGCGTTATGGGTGGTCAACCCGCTGAGCCCAGGCGTTGAACGAAACAGCTTTTCCTGTGTTTTGCAGACCGGGAGGGCGTTTAGGGCAGTGCCCAAAGAGAACGTCCAGCCCCTGGGTTTGCTAGGGCTATAGGCAAAGACAATCACTCCAGCGACACTAACCAGCAACATTTCCACCACATTTACTTCTGCATCTGCCCTTACGGCACAGAGTGCACGTGCGCGCACGCACACTTACACAGACGCAACGCACTTTGTAGTGGTCGCGGGTCGGGGGCGCTGCCCGGCGTCGCGCAGCTACCAATGGATCTAGGAAAATTTATTAGGTGAATCGAGTTACGACTCGCCATTAAAGAGCTTAGAGAGTGCGAATGTTGATTGGCGAGTGTGTGCGTGTGTCTGTGTGTGCGTATTGCTTTATGTCGTCCGCAACCCGTTGCACAACACACTCACACTCATGCACACGCACACACACACACTTGCAGGATCGTTCGAGCTGCGCGTTTGGGTTACATCAAAAAGACACTCCGGGAGCTGCCGGAGTTGTCGTGAACCGCGAGCGTACTTCTTGTACGTCAGCGTTTCCGGAATGAATGTGACAGATGCAGTCCGAGGTTCCACACTCGGCGTCCGGGTCCTGCCACTCGAGGACGGCCCGTGACCCTGGCTGCCCAAACAAAACGCGGTGCTAGTAACGATTTGAATTGTAAAGCGCAGAGGCTGAGAGCTTTATACACATATCGGGACGTCATCCCTAAAGAGTTTTATGATCCGGGACCGTTACGCACGCAAACGAGAGCGAGCGAGCGAGCGAGAGAGAGCGAGAGAGAGAGAGAGAGAGAGAGAGAGAGAGAGAGAGAGATCATGCAGGGGCAGCAGTGCGAGTGATACCACTTGGCATCTCTCGGTCCGATCTCTTAATACCTAATCATTTTACGAACATGTGATTGAACTGTCCGTGGGTGCGTATATCACTCGGGTCATTACGAGTCGGCGACTTTATGCCGGGCGTAAAAAGAGGAACAGCCGCGCTCGAGGCTCTGGCCGCTCTGGCCTAGGGGCAGCAGCGCGCTCTGCAGTAGGGCGCCGGCGCGGCAATTAAAGTGCGCAGAATAAGACGGATGGAGGAAGAAAACAAGAGTTGAAGCCGACGACACCTTCCTTTACTAAAGTAAAGTTATGTTTAGTCTAAGTGTAAGGTATCATCTGCTAAATAGGTAGCGCAAACACTTGGACACCCCCGCCCTCTTTCGCCCCACAGAGACGGAAAAGTTCTCATTTGGAAAGCAGTCGTCCGTTGCGCGCGCGGAGCGAGTGTGAAGGTTCGGCCGACCATCGTGAGCCGGCAGCCAGAGGCAGGCAGAACCTGGACAAGCAGGCGGCAACGCACCCTGCTCGTGTCGCAACGCATTTGCGCGGGTTAGTTCAAACACTCGTGCGAAATAGTAAGGCAGCACACCAAAAAGGTCGTTTTTATTAAAATCCATTCTTTCACTTGGATAATTTTTGCAGGGTGCCATTGGCAAGTTAGTGCGTAATGCTTTGCTGCGTTCAGACAAATACTCTCCATCGGCCGAGTTGTCAGTCAGGGGCTGGCTGCGGCTGCGGCACCCCGCCGTCACGTAGGCGTAGGCCGGATGGGGCGAGATGGCACGGCCAGATCGTATCACGCGATGGCTGAGCAGCGCTTAGCGGCGCTAAGCGCCGCTTCGAGGCGCTTTAGCGACTATTTGCACGAGCGTGTGTTACGGCCGCAGGTCACGGCGGTCACGAGGACCATTAGCGGGCCGCACACTCACCTTCTCCTGGAAGACGCGCCGGAAGGCGTCGCGGGTGAACCTGGGCACGTTCTCGTCGGCCGTCAGGATGTCGGCGCACTCGCGCAGCAGCGCACTCCGGCGACGGTCGCGCAGGGACTCCTCCTCCATGGCGGACATCTTGACGGAGCTGGCCGACGACCCCGGTGCCGACGACATGGCGGGGCTGACCGTCCCGGACAGCGCCGTCTTGTCGCCGCGCGACGCCCGCCGCGGCACTTCGGGCGGCGGGCCCGGGGGCGGCGGCTCCTCGTCGTGAAGCACTTCATCACTATCACTGCATCCTTTGTGGCACTCGGGCATGAACAGGCCCTCCTTGGTGAAGGGCGACACCGCCTGGAACACCCAGGTCTCCTTGCCGGCGGGCACGGAGTCGTCCTCCCCGGCCAGGCTGCGCGTCAGAGAGGGCCGGCCCTGGCGGGGGGCGGCGGGCGGCTCCACGGGGGCCTCGGGCACCTCGGGCCCGGACATGGCGCGGCCGGCGGCGGCACTCGGGCGCGACGCACTACTCGGAGGGGTGCGCGGGCGGGCGCACTGACAGACAGACGGGCAGCGGAGGTTATCGACGGCAAGCTCTCGCGGAGGAGGTTGCACTCATGTTCGCGGCGGAACGGGCCAGTCCACTGCTGCACTGCTCGGCTGCGGCACGGCTGCGGCTCGGTCCCACAGCCCTCCCCCTGGGCTGCTGGGGTCCACTCCACTCCCGGCCGGCCGTCCCCGCCACCAGGGCGCGCCACCTGCAGGCCTTGGCCGGCCCGCCACACCCGACCTCGCCGACCTTACGCGCCCCGGCACGACCTCGGACCTAGCCCACCGGCCGAGTGGGGCCGGTGTCTGGGGGCCGGCCCGGACTGGACGCGGCCGCACCTCGAAAAGTAGAGTGCACCGGGGGACGGTGGCGGGGCGGGCGAGGGGGGCAGGCTGCCCGACAGAGAGTGCCCGGGGAGTAAGACCGACACAACGTCCGGATCAGACAGGTTCGACATGAGATTTGTGACTGGCTCAATTATCTGCGGAGAGGACCCCAAGATTCAAGATTGATTACATGCATGGGGACCAATAACTATTTCAATGGTGGCAATTCATTCGTCGTTGTTGCCTATAGAGATCCTCCAACGGTCACGTGACCCTAGCACCGCCTGCCTCGGTCAGAAACAACTCCTTTCCGAACGAGGGGCGAAAAGTGGCAGAATTTGAATGGTTGGGCCTAATTAGGCACATTTCGCCTACTTTATGGACCCAAAGACTGCTCACTTTATCACTGACGACAAAACTCACAGCTCCCAACGATTTTTGAGCATGACACTCCCCAAAAATATAAAAAGTTGACACTGTGTACCGAACAATGACACACGGTGTCAGAGGTTAGGTTAGACCATTCTTTGCTGAAACCAGTTAGAAAAGCATATGGATCCAATTTAATGATTCAGAAAATGTTGTCGCCATATCTTTCTTTAACTGGGCCCTGCGATCTAACATTTTATTTCGACCTTTTCAACATTTTCCCCGGGCCCGCATTTGGAATCTCGCGCGGTTCGCCCCTCAGTGGGCCTTGTGACGTCAGCATTGGAGCATCTCTATAATATCACATACCCCCTCCCCTCCCCGGAGCTTGCGATTACCTCACGTATACAAATCCGTTGGGCGGGAAGCGGTGCAAGACTTTGGTCTTTCAGCGGCGGCGCGAGGAGCTTTACGCGAGAGTCTCTCAGTAGATCCCCTTCTTGTGCCTCTTCTATTCTCCGACGAACGTATAGACATGTAATAAAGCAAGAAACAATAAAGCATGATCGCCAACTATTATGAGAGAAGAGGATCTCCGGATGGGGTCTTATTAATGAAAGATGCCGATGCACTCTGATTTAAAACCAGCATTAGTCTCCGCTCCCCCTCCTAGCCCTGAACTCCCCCTTACCCCTCCCTCCACCAACTTCTCACATCTCGCCCCGCCACGGGACCGGAGATACTCCCTGCGATGTGCCCGCGCTGCGAAACACAAGCCGGCGCCATCTAGCGGCCATCGGGCGAAGCGCCGCCGGCCGCGCGCGATTTGGTCTTGTGGATCACGAGTGCTGGGGAGTCCCGAGAGACGCCCATCAGCACCCATGCTCCTATCACCGCCCGTTTCGCGCATTCATTGAGAGCGGTTCGGTCAACCTATCAAGATTAAGCTTGTCAAGTGCATCATAGATGTAGGTCCAAATGTTGCATTGATATTTCACAATTTGAAATGTCCCCTCGCTCAAGTTCAACAGTAAGTCAACATCAACAGCTCAGCTTTGTTCTCCAAGGATGGCATTTATAAAAAGTTCAAACACATTGATATATTCGCAGTGATGGACTTGGGCTTGGGCTCATTGTTGTGGAAAGTCTTTTAAGTGTCTATGGATATTGTTGATGACGAGTGTACTGAGTCTAAGTACAATGTTTTTAGATTTGTTTTTCGAATTATTAAATTGAATGGTCCCTCTGATCACCATTGAGATAAGATTAAGCCATAAGACAGAATGACATTGTAGATCTTTTAACTGGTATTCTGTTGGGGGCAGCTGGGTAATGCAGAAACAGTGTCTAAGACAATTTTCGTCATCGTTTGATTACAAACGTGGTACATGTGTAATGTATTTGATTGCTATCTTGAAACTTGGTGCAGTGTTATTATCAATTTTACTACCAAGATGTTATAACTGTGGGGGAGGGGTAAAGGGGGAGTTATGTCCTGACCGGTCGACTTTGAGATTAGATACCAGTCTAACGTTTTCCTAAATCCACAGCAAAAAGTTATGGACTTATGGTCATTCTGGAGAAATAAACGATAAAATTTACAAAACTTATCTATTTTGGAATAGAATGTAATCCGTTCTTTTTTTATTGTTTGTTGCAGCATGTCAGCATTAGTAAAGCCTTAAACTCAATTGAATGTGCAGCAAAGGAAAAACATGTTTGCAGTATCCTTTATTGTGTGAATGGACCATGTGCATTTGTATTGTTCTGTGTTTTAATTAAAATGAAAGATAAGCCTTATGATGGGTTGTCATAATTTGCGTTAAGTCTTTAACATCTCAAGGTGCCATTACTGGCACATTCCAGGATTCTCGGACTTTTTGGGAGAGAGTACAGCGTTTGCCTGTTCTTGGCAATAGAATCGTGGCATGGAAGTTCTGTTTTGTTCTTCACAGAATTTTACGTGAAGGCTGTGAATCAGTTATCCCAGAGTCTCTGAGACACAAGGAATGGATAAGAAATGTTGGGAAGCTATGGGTATGTTGATTTTTGAATCTGGTACAAGAATTATCACTTATAAATACAGTGTGCAACTGGCATGCACATGCAAGTGTTCAACACTACCTCGAACACTTCGTTGCACACTTTTCACTTTTCAGTATTTGACCGGATATTATAATACCGAAAAGTGTTTAACAGTGAAGTTGCACACACAGAAGTTTTTAACAGGGTTGGCCATGGATCTATGTTAGTTTTTATAATAAATCTATTACAGTGTCACCTAAGGGAAAGTTATGGAAAACTAATCCAGCAGTACACTCAATTACTGATTGTGAAATTGGACTTCCATAGGAGAAATCCCTACTTTCCCGGCAACTTAGTAGTTTCCCAAGAGGATCTTCACTCCATTGGTGGAAATGATGTTCAGAACTACTTTGAATTGGCCGTAGACATGTTTGATTATATGGACAAAATACTTGCTCTTCAAAGTGCCAGTAAGTTTTGCTCCTGGAATAACCTTTATTTTCCTTTCTATAAAACTAAGTTTTCCTGTTTCTTTTGCAGTATTTGGATCTTTAGACATGTCAAGGTCAAATTCAATGACAAGCTGTGGGCAATGCCGTTTGGCCCCATTGATTCCATGCATTCAGGACTCATCTCAGTTATATGATTATTGTGTCAAGATTCTTTTCAAGCTTCATTCGGAGCTTCCTGCTGATACTTTGCAAGGCCATAGAGACCGCTTTTCAAGACAGTTCAAAGACCTGAAAAAGTTCTACTCGTTAGCAACCGCCGTAAAGTATTTCCGAAATTTTTGGACGATTTCTATCCCACAATTACCAGAGGTATTATTATGATAGTTATCTCCTTACCAAGTTATCTCCCACAGAGCAACATGTTGATCTGCTATGTATTTTAACTTACAAATTTTTTACAAGTGTTGAAATACTTTTGTGACAGACCGAACCAGAATTCTTGTTTCAATCTGAATTTTTGGGCTTTGGTACACCTGTTCTACGAGTGCCAACAACAGACCGGGAGCAATCAGAAGATCATGTGACCAACTTAACTGATACCTCCAGGCGTAGCGGAACGTTCTTAAACCAGGAGGGAGCAAGCCTGGCATCGCCTTCGGCACCCCCGCTTTGGCTTTTTGACGCCCCCTTTTGAACAAAACAGCTATTTTCACTTTTTAAATGCAAAGGTGAACTGTGTGTGGGTGTGTGGTAAACGTAAGTAGGAAATTTGGAGCGTGGTATTACATTACATTTGTGAGGGTGAAATATCAAGGTTTTAGTTTTGCAAATGTAATGACCGCAAATTAAACCAGAGGCGCCTTTCTCGATGGGTCAGTAAGGCCTTATTGCCCCCTCCTTTTCCTTCCGCTCATCCAAACCTTGCTTACATTACATGCACCGTTTAATTCCTGCAAAGCAATGCTTTGCAGGGCTGCGAAGGATTTTGATCCTTCGTAACTACACAGCTATGACTTGCAATCGCGAAGCGAACCCTTTACACACAGTAACTAGGGAAGAACTTTTTGGTGTATATCGTACTATAATAAGTGAATCGTTCGTACACTGTTAATTGAAGGTGTACAGTCATTGTACGACAAAGGCGTATGCCACACTGTAAAATGCTTACTAACTTAATACGTTACGAACAATTTTCGTTCTTTGTATGACAAAGAAATTGTTTGCATTGCAGAGCGATTGTTAATGAGGCTAGTAAGGTCCTTACAAAAAATTCTTCGTAAGCTACGAAGGTTTTAGTTCGCATTATGAACCTATTGTTCGTCAACAATTTACAGTGCACCCAAAACTGTACGCCTTTTGGCATGTAATGTCTGCACGCCTTTAGCGTACAGTGACAGCACACCTCTGTTAGAGGAAATGCTAGAAAAAACCCGTGCGTTAGTCCGGGCCAATGGCTAGGGTGCACAGAAACCAAACGCCCTACTCCAGCTTCCGAAGCAGAGTGGGAGTGCCGGAGGAGCTTTGGCATTACGCACCACCAGCAAACGCATGGGCATTTCCACTTACAAAGGTGTGCTGTCACTGTACGCTGATGGTGTGCAGTCATTACATGCCACCCAAAACTACACGCATGCACGAAATCATACGTAAATGCGTGTAATTTTATGCATAAATGCATCGCGCGGGGTCCTCTCTGCGACACTATGTGGTGCACTGTCCACTGCTGCCAACCCTAGAGAAAAAGATAGCTGGGAATTGTTTCATTTTAACTGTATTTAACAAAAATTTTGACTGGGTTTAACTGAGTATTGGTGAGTCTGACTGGCTTTAACTGAATATACCCGGATATTCTCGGCTTTTACCCGATTTTACACTTAATTTTACTGATTATACTGAGCCCACTTTTTGCCTTACTGGAATTGATACGAATATGACTGATTTTGACTGAGGGCCTTGACTGATTTTTGATTGGTTTTAGTCACTGGCTGAGGACGCGACTGAGCTTAGATCGATCATAACTGATTAAAGGCACCTCTCTAAAATCAGTCGAATGTCAGCTCATGTCAGTCACACACCGGACTGACATTAGTCACATATTAGTCGGTTCAACATTATTGCTCGCAATCACAAAAATCAGTTTCCGATACACAATGTGCGTTCCAGAATCTCACTGAATATAGTATTTTTTTGGCTGATAATTGTTGTGGACCAAGTGATGTGTATACTCAGCCTATTCTAGTGTAAGACCAG